GAATTCCCTGGACTGAGTGGGAGGGTAACTAGCTGAACAAATCTAGGGCATCACTGAGAAGGAGGAAATGACTGCTGGATATCGTGCCCAGGTCTGCCTCATAGGCCGGTTGGACCCGTTCGTTTGTGTAGGTACCTGCAAAACACCTATACACCCACAGTGACACACTTTGTGGATCCGTTTGGGAAATGTATTATTGTCCTGGGTGAATTTCACACCTCTCATGGAGGACCTTTTCATCCCAACCTCCAACTCTCCATTCCTTGATTTCTACTCATGTTGAGGTTGACTGCCCGTCTCCAAGGTCAGACGCGGCTTCCTCTCTGACTGCAGCCTCCAGTCCCTCATGGACACTCTTACAATTCCTCTCCTTGACCTCATGGACACTCAGGAGGCCAGTGTTGTCCAGTGGTTAGCAATGTGGATCACACTTTAGTTCTGCAACTTACTTGCTAATTTGGGCTAAATACTGAAAACTCCTCTGTAACATATGGATAGGAACCAACCTCACAGGGCTGTTTAAATAGAGGATTAAGGACAGAGAACACGCTCGATAAATACTAGCTCCGTACAAGACATCTGTCACCAGGATCTTTCTGTTTCCTTCCCATCAGCCCCTTTCGTTTTTATTTCTTGCCTGTTCCCCCTTCGAGTCTCTGGCGCATCTGTTGCCAATATCGTATCTCTACTCCCTCGCTCCATTATTCTTCCCTCAAACCTTCCTGGCAAATGCTCAGCTTTGGACCAACCTAACTTTCTTCATGCCAATGTCTAAGTTGCTAGAAAAAAAAAAATCAACATCTGGGCAGATGGTTGCTACAGTAACTTCAGTTCCTGTGGCCTCAGCTGGACCGTTAATGCTCCCTGGCAATCCTCATGCTCTTCCCTGGTCAACGGTTTTTCCTGTTCTCCAAAGAAACGATTTCAAGCCTTCATCACTTTCCTCCAACCTCCTTTTCTTCCCTCACCAAACCCTCCATTCCTTGAGGATAATTTGACCTCCTAATTCTCAGAAAAGAACAAAAATCAAACTGGAACATTCCAAACCACCACCATCCCCCATCCTGCTCCCCACCCCCGCCAAATCCACAGATATATCCGCATCCCTGCCCAGCCTTCCCTACTGCTGCAGTGGAGAAAGGCCCTTCCACTTGTATGTTGGTTTCCAGTCCCTCCTGTCATCTCGGACACCTTGATGTTTTAACTACCTCCATCTCTCCTTTGTCTTTGAGCCCTCCTTCTGTAGTGCGTCTTTTATATCTGCATTCAAGCAAGCCTGTTATCTAACAATACACTCTCCGTTAAGCCCCCGTCCTATTGTCCTGTCCTGTTCCAATCCATTCACCTTGACTCTTTGCCCCCACCGTCTAATTTGCTAAAAGAGTTACATGCGCTCCTGATCCCCACTTCCTTATCTTCTCATTTTTCACCCCAATCACACCCTGATCTCTGCTCCCACCACTCTCCTGAGAGTCCTTGTTGCTAAATCCAATGGATTCTTTGTTTTGGATGTTTGTTCCTCCCTTACTTGCCCTCTTAAAAGGATTTAATGCTGCTGACTGCTCCCTCCTTAAGGCATGTTCTCCTCTTGGCTCCTGGAACATCATAACTCAAAATTCCATGACCACTCCTTCTTAGTCTCCATTGCCCAGCTCTGAAATACAGCTGTTCTGTCAAAGACCTCATTTTGACTCTTCATATTCTCTTAGGACATTCTCATCCACACCAATGGCTTTAGTCACCATCTTACTTATTATTTAGAGGCTTCCAAATTTGTACCTCCAGATAAGTCTTGCCTATAAAGTTCGGAATTGTTTATACAAGCTGCCTACTGTTCATCTCCACTAAGATGCCTCTCAGACACCTTAAAATCAGCACTCCCAAACTAAACTCAAGCTCTTTTTCCAAACCTGCCATTCCTCCTTGTCACGGTGCGTAACAGCACCATCTGCCCTGCTGCCCAAGGCAGAGCACCTTAAAACATCATCTTTGATGCCTCCCTCTCTGGCAGGCTTTACATCCAGACCATTACCAAGTCCTGTAATTCCGGTGAGGTGGAAAGAGCGTGGGTTTTAGCTGAAATTCTAATTGTGGTTTGGACAAATTACTTAACCTTTCTTAGCCTCAAGTTCCTCCCCTGTAAAAAGGAAATTGTAATACCTAATTCAGATGGTTGTGGTCAGGGTAAAGGAGAGCCTTTCCTTGGTAGGTATTCAATAAATATGAGTTCTACATTCAATAAGTATGAGCACTCTTCTGTCCCATACCTCTCTCCCCCGCCTCATCACCACCTCTACTTACTCACCTGTTAAATTTGTATTCACAGTTTCTTGACCTCAAGAATCCCCCAGAATGAAATTTCCCATAACTCCTTTATGACTAAAGACTACAGCTTATATCTCATCACACTTATCGTAAAGAATTTGGAAAAGGCGAGGAAAGGAAAGGAGCACTGTTGCCATTGTTCCTTCCAGTCTTTCTTCTATGTGGTCTTTGTTCTGTTTTTACATAGTTTTCTTGATACATAATCAAGTACACATCCTGATTTTTTCCAGATATTTTCCTAGATTAATAAAAATTCTTCATGGCTGCTCTTCTGCATGTGACTATATAGTCGAGTTTACCTAACCACTTTGCTTTTGCTTATCTTTTAGAGTCTTTCCAATAAATGATACTGAAGTGAACGGTTTTACAAAAAAAACTTTTCCTCTTATATTTATGGTAATTTTTCTAAACCATACATTCATCAATCACTGAGTCAAAGGATTTGAAAATTTCTAAGTGGTGCAGTCTTTGCAATGGACCAAATGAATATAGGCCTGGCCTCAGCTACAAAGAGGGAAGTAAAGAGAAAACGGTATAGTTAATAGATTTTTTTTTTTTAACTTCTGTTTTACTGAAAGAGGGCTGGGAAGATCCAAGCAGTGTTCTGTAGGGAAAACATGCCTTTGACTTGAAGTTCCTGGCTTCATGTTGGTGAAGAAGGGCTTGTTTCTGTTTTTATATTTTCATCTGGGTCAGTAAGAGGACGAGCCATTCCTCCAAGCTTGTTTCCCTCTAAGGAAGAGAAAAATCATCCAGCATCTAATGATGCAGATCTGTGTTAACAGCCTTGCAGTTAAAAAAAAAAAAAAAAAGTTATAATAATGTACCCTCCTAATGTGCAGTTAATTTTAGTTAAAATTTCCCTGGCGCTTTAAAAACTCAGTGAATTTGTAAATCTAGTAATTGGCTCTAGGTCTAGAAATGTTAAAGCTGCCATATCCAACTCCGCTCTAGCAGGACACGCACAACCTCCCTGAGTTCTTGCTTCCCAGCAACCCAGATGGAGCTCTGCACTCACCTGAGCACTCCCCTCCAGAATCCAGAAAGAAACCAAGACCTCATTACCAGATTCTCGTTCCTGGTCATCCCTAATCAGAGAAAGCTACTGAGTGCCTCAAAGTTAATATGTCCAAAATGAAACTTGTGGCTTTCTAGCCACCCCCAGATTCAGCAGTGGTGATTGTTCAAGTCAAAAACTTGAACTGTCCTTGATTTCTTCTTTTCCATCCTCACCACTCCCCAACATGGAACCCTGCATGTCCTGTCACCTCTACTTCTCAGAATTTACTTCTTTTTTTTGAAGTTTATTTATTTTTGAGACAGAGAGAGAGCTAGGAGGGGCAGAGAGAGAGGGAGAGAGAGAATCCCAAGCAGGCTCTGTGCTGTCAGCACAGAGCCCAACGCGGGGCTCGATCTCACAAACTGTGAGATCATGACCTGAGCTGAGATCAAGAGTTGGATGCTTAACCAACTGAGCCACCCAAGTACCCCTCAACATTTACTTCTAAGGTAGATTCTTAAACTGTCCATTTCTCTCTCCCTCTTGGGCCCCCTCCCCAACCCTTTAGCCCCAGCCCCCATCACTGCTCACCTGCGCTGCTGGGTGGCCTCCTGCTCTACCCTACAGCCTGCTGTCTACACAGTAGCCAGAGAGATCTTTAAAACCTATGGGGCGCCTGGGTGGCTCCGTCAGTTAAGCGTCCGACTTCAGCTCAGGTCATGATCTCACGGTCCGTGAGTTCGAGCCCCACGTCGGGCTCTGTGCTGACCGCTCAGAGCCTGGAGCCTGTTTCAGATTCTGTGTCTCCCTCTCTCTGTGCCCCTCCCCTGTTCATGCTCTGTCTCTCTCTGTCTCAAAAATAAATAAACATTAAAAAAAAATTTTTTTAAATAATAATAATAAAACCCAATTTTGATCATGTCATCTACCCATTCCTCACCAAAGGCTTTTCTTTTGCTATTCAGGTAATTCTAAGGGGGCCAGCGAGGTTCTTCAAGTTCTTGCCCTGGCCTCCCTCTGCAGCATCACTGACCACCATGTCCCCTGTACCTACTGGGTTCTGGTTTACCAGCTACCCTTCAGTGCCCGGACTCCTGCATCAGGGCCTCTGTACATGCTGTGCTCTCTGCCAGCGATAATCTCCTTTTCTCCCCATCCTCCACCCCCATAATTTAGTTAACCCCCTCCTCCTTCCCTCCTTCCCAGTCTAGTTCAGGTTATTTACTTCTGTCGAAACGCGGGAGTCTTTTTCCTGCTTCAGAGAACCTATATTAATTGGAAGCTTGATATTCATTCATTCACTCATTCGTGTGAATTGATTATCTGCCGCCTCTACCATGAAGGAGGCCCCTCTCTGCCTCTCTTCACTGTTCTTCCCCCATCAGCTAGCTCAGTGTCTGGCACAAAGTAAGTGCTTAGTAAATAATCGGTTACCTGCTGAATGAATAAGCAGAGTCCAGTAGCAGTCCTCACTGATGACAGTGGCCCGTAAGGCATGGCACTTCCCAGAGGTGGCAGGCCCGGGTTCTCCACAACATGTCAGCTGGAGGGAATGTGATTTTGCTTTTTTTTTTTTTTTTTTTTTTTTTTTTTTTTTTTTTTTTCATTTCAGCCGTCCAAATGAATAAAACATGCAGCCTAGACTTAATTATTTTTCTCTTCTCTCTCTCTTCAGCTAAAACTTGCTTTCACTCTGGATCACGAGACTGGATTGCCTCAAGGATGTCACATCTACGAGTACCGTGACAGCAACAAGTAAGCCACCCGGTGGGAAGGAGGGTCACCTCACCATGTCCTGGAAAGGCAGCGCCTAGGGATTGTCGGGAAGAGAACCACACTTTGGGGGACTCTGTTAGCAAATAGCTGGCACAAAAGTATTTCTCCTGTAAAATCTATCTGGCTCCTAAAGACGGGACTGGAAGTACTCGTATGGGATGTGTTAGACATATATGCAGAAGCAGACCTTCCTTCCCAGGCTCCAGCTTTCCTCTGGACCCACCCCCACTCAGTCTCCAACGATGTCCTTGCTAACTTGATTCACGGTGTGACTTCGGCTCTTGCTGTCGTTCCGTCTGACTACACGTATGTGGACAGGTTTTGCTGTGTTAGCCTACCTTGCGAGTTTTGTAATTGGGGGGTTTCTGGGTACTTACAGAGATCTCAGTCGGTGATCTTAGGATTAGCAAGGTGGCGCCTGGCATACTTGTATAGCACCTCTCCACTTCCCCACAGACTGCCTCTCTAGCCACGTAGTTTTGCCTGTGAGGCCGTGAAAGTGGTGGCGAGTGCCCGATGATGGCAATGACAGTGATGATGATGGACAACGACGGCAGCTACTAGTGAGCACCTACCTACTGTGTGTCAGGCACACTACTGGGGATATGACATTATCCCACTTAATCCTCATAGCAACCCGAAGAGTTGTTCGTTCATTGTTATCATTGTCATATTTGCCGAAGCTAAAGTCTAGGGAATGTAACTTGCCCAAGGGCACTCGCCACAGCTGTGTGAGGAAGAGTCCGCACGATCACATTTACTCTAGGAAGAGAACAGATGAACAACAGTTGTTGTCCCAAGTTGCTGCTTTTGGGAACCCCAGTCAATGACAAGAACGGTCTCAACCTGGACTCGAGGACTAATTGTTTAACTATCTGGGCGTTTAATTTTACCCAGTGGAAGGAATCGAATGGGCACATGCCAGTGGAACTATACGTTCCAGAAGAGAAACTTGGGCCTTCCTGAAGAACTCTTGCTCTGTTATGGGTGGAAGATGGGTCAACCGGGTGCCTTCATGACCATATCTCCATTCGTATTACCCTCAAGGCGTTATTCTTGTTTGTAATTTATCTTTAGAGGATGCCACAGTAAGTGTTGCATACCCTCCATTCCTACCAAATTAGTCTTTTAGGAAAGACTGGCCAAGCGCCCTCTGACCCCACCGTCTGTCCTCTTGGATGGCGCTGTTTCTGGAGTTCCAGAGTTTCTAGGCCGTTTTGTCAGAGATACCGTCACAGCTTCTCATAATGCTTAATTCATCAGAGCAGCAGGGCTGGGCTTCTTAGGTCCAGGGACTGGTGGGGACAGCTGAATGAGTTCCTTGGTGGCAAGTGCGAGCGTCTCCAGGGAGTAAGAGAAACATCAGCCATAAGCTGCCGTCCGTGCCAGCCTGCGCTCCCCGGGCCGGTGCTTTGCCTGGTGGCAGCGAACGGCAGCCTCGTCCGTGCACACAGACCGTGGCAGCAGAAACCCATCTTTCAGCCCGGAAGGTTTACAGACTCCAATTCTGACCTGACTCCCTCCTCTTTGGGAAAAAGGTTGGCAGCGTTTTTGTCCAGTGGGAGGATGACACCGGCCTTCCTTCCTTTAGGTTCATGTCTTAGCAGTTCAGAGGTGCAACGGCAGCCACAGCTTAGGTAGTCTTTGGAGCCGAGAGGAAAAGATAGCCTAGTTCTGTTCCTTGGCCTAATCCCCAACCCCTAGCGTGTTTTCAGAGTAAGCAACGTAAGAGGAGAATTTAGGGGGTGTAAATATTGGTAAGCTTTGGCCCCCAGAGATGTGTAACTGAAAGCATTTGTGTAGGAGAGCAGATAGGAGCCACGATCCGGGAAACTATGGCCATCAAATGCCTCAGCGACTCCTCTCTGTGGTTCTTTCTGGCTCATCTTGGAGGCAGTCTGAAGGTTCGTTCTCAATTTGTGGACAAATTTCTTAAGGTCTGAGCCTCCGGTTTCTTCATCTGTTAAGAACAATGGGACTAATGATACCTTCTGCCGTAACTGGGGGAATGATCGTCATGGGGATTGGACTGACATGGTAAAGACATCATCACAGCCTATCGTATAAAGTGCCCACAGAAGTGTTGATTGCCTCTCCTTCCCAAACAGAATGTATCTCATGACTTCCATTCTGTTCTATTTTCCCAGTGCTGGCAGGGCTGCGTCCGCGAGCTGTCGCTGCAGCTAACAGAGTACTGAGAAGGGAAGGGGCTGGCGCACATGTCTTTGACGGCCCTCAGCTCTGTGCGATGCACTCTGTCTAAAGGCAGACTCCTCTCCCCATGTGTGAATTGTGAAGTGAAGCATGGAGAATCCCGTGAACTTGACTGTGACTTTCTCCTCTCCCCTAGGCGCTGCCCTGTATTTCTCTGTTCACTTTTAGGGTCATTTCCCCTGGAGTGCCTCAATCCCAGTATTGGTATAACAGTGGTGTTCAGGAAATGAGGATATTTCGCCCCAGGCCCTAAGGGGCCCATGTTGTCTCAGCCAATAACATGAATTCAAGAGCAGCAGAGAGATGAGGTTCTGTATGTGAAAGAATTAGCTTGGTATCTGACTATTTGTTTGGTACAATTAATTATTGAAATGACTACTTTTATCTGGGTATGTCCCACAGTATAATTCATAGTCATTTTAGTATTTATCTCTGCCACATTCAATCTGTCAGTAAAGAAGGTGTTGTGAGTGAGTATGGAGGCTGTTGGATCGTTCTCCCCAGTGGTCTTGCCTTTCAAATGGAGCGGCCCTGGGGCACTAGGGTGGCTCAGTTGGTTAAGCGTCTGACTCTTGATTCTGGCTCAGGTCATGATCTCACGGTTCAGGTCGTGAGATGGAGCCCCACGTTGGGCTCCACACTGACAGTGCAGAGCCTACTTGGGATTCTCTCTCTCTCTCTCTCTCTCTCTCTCTCTCTCTCTCTCTCTCTCTCTCCCCCTCCCCCGCTCACATGCACTCATGTTCTGTCTCTCTCAAAATAAATACATAAACATTAAAAAAAAATTTTTTTTAATGGAGCGGCCCTGAAAATAGGCACTCTGCTTTTATTTCCCCTGGACGCTTTCCCTGGACGCTTCCTTCCCTGGAACATCCTGGTAGTCCTGATTTGGGGCTTGATGTCATCCTGTTCTCCATCTGCATAAAGGGACTCATACTTGCCACTGAGTTCCAAGGACAGGCCCTGGGACTTGTCCATATGTGGCCGGACTTGGACCCTGCCTCTTGTTGAGCTGGAGGGCACGGTTCACATAAACGTTCTTAAAGCTTTGAGGTCATTAGAGGAAAGAAGCTGTCCTAGTGTGCCTGGGGTTAGAGGAGTAAAGCTTTTCACTCAGATTATGTCGTCAGCCTCCCAAAAGCTGTTCAAAGCTGCACCTAAGAGATGCGAGGTCTCCCCGCAACCCGACCCCAACAGGTACTACCAGTCACCCCCATGGACCTGGGGACCACCTTCTTTTTTCCTGTTGCAGAAAGCTTCACTGCCTTTAACATGCAATCCAGTGAATCCGGGACTGATCGAGAGTTGTGTTTCTCACACTGGGGTTTGGGGATCTCTTCACAGAGCAGACCAGACCCAAAAAAGCAAATAAGTGCTTCATGAGAACTACTATGCATTCCCTTGGCCCCTGCTCCACACCACGTGCTGTGCTAGGCGCCAGGCACAAACGGTGACAACGGTGACTTGGACCTACTCCACAGCCTCGAGGGGTTTGTGTCAACCGCAGACCGCATGGCAGTCCCACCAGGGTGATGCGGATGCCTCTTGATGGGGCGGAGGCGGGGGAGCCGAGTGCTGTGGGACTTTGGAGCACCACACGGGTGCCTGTCTCCTCTGCAGCTGAGAGAGCTTCACGTGGGTTTTTGTTCTGGTGGCTTTTGAGACTTTATTTTTGTCTTTGGGGGTTCCGCAGTTTTACTGCATTCAGTCTGAGTAGATCTGTCTTTATCATGTTGCTGGGGATTCAGTGTCGTTCTTCCCATTCCAGAAACTCTTCTCTGCTATCTCCTTGATTCTCTCCGATCTCTCCTTCTAGAACTCCTGTTAGAAACCTGCCATGTTATTCTGTCTTTCCTCTCCTTTTCCCATCTCCTTTTCTGCCAGTGCTGTATTCTGGCACTTCCTCGAAAACATCTGGTTTCGAGTTTACAAATCTCCTTGTAGCTATGCATAATCAGCTGTTTACTACACCTTCCAAATTTGAGGGTTTCGTTTTTATTTTTAATTTTTAGGAATTCTCTTCAGAGCTTTTTATTTTTTTTTTTTTTTTTTTTTAAATTTTTTTTTTCAACGTTTTTATTTATTTTTTGGGACAGAGAGAGACAGAGCATGAACGGGGGAGGGGCAGAGAGAGAGGGAGACACAGAATCGGAAACAGGCTCCAGGCTCCGAGCCACCAGCCCAGAGCCCGACGCGGGGCTCGAACTCACGGACCGCGAGATCGTGACCTGGCTGAAGTCGGACGCTCAACCGACTGCGCCACCCAGGCGCCCCTTCAGAGCTTTTTAAAATCAGCCTGTTATTTTTTATTTTTTGTTTTTTAGCGTCCTAGTTTTTATTATGGTTTCTGTTCCTTTCGTGTCTTCATTTATTCTGTTTATCCGTACAGCCTCTTTCAAGTGTTCGATTATTTCTAGTCTTAAGGGTACCGATTCTCCCACGTGTTGTGTCTGAAGCCTCGCCTGCACGGTGGCTCGTGGTGGTGGTTCACTCTTTATCAGGAGACCATCCGAAGTAGGGATTGTTTTCACCGTGGGAGCCGATGGGTTGCGGATGTGTGTTTTCATCGCCTTGGCATTAGTTCTTCCGGGACGCCAAGTTCCAGAGGCTCAGCCAGTTTGGTGTGAACCTCTTGGCTCAGGATTCCCAGAACCTGGGTGGCGTATATTCAGCCTCCTTACCCACATGCAGTGCGGGCTTGGGGTCTCCTTTCTGCAGAGAAACCTCCGCTCCACACCACACACAGACCTCCTCTGGGCTGTGAG